GTGGCGACGCCTCCAGTCCGCGGCGCCCCAGACTCAGAAACGAAGCATGAATGCGAAGTACAGTGAATCCTCTGAAGAGCCTCCTCCATAGCACGTTCACCACCGTGGATCTCCTGTAGCGCCACTACTCTGCCAGCACCCATCAGTTTGCTCAGATAGCTGAGCTTCCTGCTCAAAATCGCTGGTCTGTAGTGTAACAGGGCCCCCGTGTTCCAGGTCGTGAAAGCTAGAAATCCAACCCCAAACACTTCGTTACCCACTCCACCGTACTTCACGTGTGTCGAAGACCTGGCGAACCAGCTCGTTGGCCTCCTCCCTGGACAAGCAAGTGTCGGCAAGTGCCGAGAGATTCCATTCCACTTTCGGCGTTCTGCTCGCAGGTAATGGGAGCACCCGCACCAAGGGCTCCCACTTGGCCATGAGTTGACCATTATCCTTGTCGAGGAAAGTGCGGATGCCACGGTCGGCGAGACACCTCTGTAGCTTCTTGCACGCGATCTCTGTGGCAACCATCTTTTTGTTCTTGTCCGCGGAAATATGGATCGGCACTGACTCAGTGCCCACGTCAACCTGGAATGCACGCCACGACCCATTTGGCAGACGGAGCTGCTGCTGGGCCTGACTCCTCCTCGAAGAACGGGTTGATTCCATGGGGCCTTGAAATGCGAGAGTAAAAGATTTGGCGACATCATCTCCAAGCAGCTCCACACCATCACCGAGAGGGACATTTGCTTCGGTGAGCCAAGGAGCCAAAGCCGCCGCCACAGCATTCTTAGCGACAGCAGACGATGTTCGCACTGCGAGGATGGTGAGGTCCACGTCCCTGTCCCACTCTGGGTTCGGAACAACAGGAGGACGCGGCTTCGTCTTTGCAAGGTCAAGCTCTTTCTCCAGATGCGAAAGACGGTGAGCGAGGCCCGCCACGGTGCTGTCGAGTAGATCTGATCGAGCACGCTGTGCATGGACCTCCCCATCGACACGTCGTAGCTGCTGGTTGAATCGCTCCTCATATTTCTCCATGAGCGGGACTGTGGCCGCGCTGAGTGCGGCAGGAAGCTGAGCCAGGATGGTCTCCATCGCCTTCTGAGTGAAAGCCTGCATGGCCTCCGCCTGGAAGGAGTCCGCGGATTGGGCAACGTGGCTGCCAACATCATGAGAAGTGGTTCCATTGGACGTCGCTGCCGTAGCCCAAGGATCAGGCGCACGGCCTTCCGCGGGGGTGCCAGGAGTCGCCCATGGCCTCGAAGCGGGTGGAGTTGGCCATGGGGACGGAGAGGGCGAGGCCTTCGCACCCCCCGCTGGGACTTGCACTTCGTCAGCTGGGATGGGGGTGGCGATGCCGCAATGCTGCGTCCCACATGAGCTGTCGACGATGACGGGAGAGGCGCCACGGCCAGCACTGCGGGAACGCCGAGAGCCCTCGGCCGACGCGTCACTGGCGGCGGGGAGGTAGCGGTCCCGAGTCCGAATGCGATCACGTTCGCGGATGTCAGGAGCACCGAGAGCATCCCGAGGATCACGCAGCCGCGCCGATGGTGATGAGGCACGCGGGGTGGAGGAAGCAGAACGTGATGATGCCGTCGGCGCCCGTCGTTCCTCCTTTGCCTTGCGGGACTTCCGTTCATGACGACTGCCGCCCATGAGCACCTGCAAGCACTAAGAACGGAGAGACTCAAGACGGCAGCGCGGAGCTCCCCGCCCAGGTCCTGAGAGAGGATGTCGGGCTGAACAGCCCTTGCACTGCCGCGGACTAGCGGTATCCACTTGTTCCCCTGCGGAACTTAACATCTTGAGCCAAAATGGCTACGGAGGAGGAGGAGGCGGAGCGTACCCTGAGCGCGTCCCAGGATCCACTCTACAGCGTGGGCGGGGGCAGGGGCCTGCTGCCACTCTTCTCCTCCCCACTACTACTACCATCACTCCGACTACCCGCCTCACTGCCCTCACTGCCCTGAGACGAGAGAGGCGGAGCACGCTCGGCACCGAGCGGCTTCGCCCGCGGCGGCACACCCGGCCTGCTCGATGGCGATGAGGCCCGCCCCGCCGTCGGTGTCGGCGGCGGTCCCGCCCAGGAAGGAACACCTCCCTGTCTCTCTCCAGCAGCGCCCCCTTCTGGTTCAGAGGACGAACTGGAAGATGACGAAGAGGATGAGGCCGCACGACTTGCCAGCACAACCTTCTGCAACTCTGACCGTCGAAGCATGTGCCTTTAAGCGCCCCTCAGCGGTAGACGTACGGCCAGACGGGCGGCCTCGACCAGCTTGAGAGCTCCTGCATACTGGGGCGCCTCCACATGTACTCTCGACATGAGGCGGTAGTGATGATAGATCGCCATCAAGAAAGCCAGATTGCCACCTCTGACACCAATCCTGAAAGCCACTTCGCCAGGCAAATCATGACGGAGTACCAGAGCGGCAAAGTGATGGCACCGCTGGCAGAATACGACATAGTGCCTGATGGTGTCCACGCCGTGCTCGCAACCATATATACACTTCGCATCTCTCTGCATCCGTCGATTCGTAATCCATCCACCAAGGAAAGTTCTCAAAGCAACAACCGCCCAACTTGGAGGGACCGCCTGCAGGGTCCGTTGCACTGCCAGCATGTCATCCGCTCGAATCCTGAAATGCCGCCACAAACGCTGCCTGAGCAGCTCCTCAAGCTTCGGCGGAAAGATGTTCCTCAACAAAATCTGATAGAAGATATTCTGCCATTTGGTCCTCGGGGTTCTCCTCACGTTCTCATCCCGCAGGTCTTCGCGACTGCAAAGCAACTTCTCCAGCTGTCCAGGGAGAGCAGCTGGCCCAAAGAGACGGGAAAGTTCACCTCTCCCAAGCCTGCCAGTCCAAAGTGCTAGAGCCATCATACCACCACTTCCAAGGTGTCGGTCTTGTTCGAAGCCGAGTGCAGCCTGCTCCAAGAACCGTGCGAACGGTGGGCTCCTCCAGAAGGGTGGGGCCATGGCCGTAGCATTCCAGAGGGCAGCGCATCCCATGTCCGTCACCACTTGCCGCAACCTTTCGAGCCTTGCCTGCCATGTAGAGCACGTCGTGAGGGCAGACCGCATGCGAGTCGCCGCTGCCAGCACGAACATGGATGTGAACCTCGGCCCACCCCATTCAGCCAGAGCAAAGCAATCGCCCATTCTCGGCATCGAACTCGGCGCACGAAGAATCCGCGCAACAAGATGGCGCTGCCGTTGACACTCCTTCCATCCAAGAGGGACCAACTGCGAGATATAGCCCAAGACAGGAAGCGCCCGATCGGCATGCAGCTTAGCAGCAACTTGCACCGGGGCCCCTTGTCGGCTCAGCTCCACTGTACGAGATGCATGTTTGGCCAGCGCCTCTGACCACTGTGCGTCAACCGTGGCCCCAGGGCCGATCTGAAATCCCAGATAAGTACACACATCTACCATTTGGAAGTCTGCCCACTCAGCGTCGGCATCGATCAAAATCTGTCGCAATTCCGAGGTGTACGGTTCGCGAGCGGGTCCACGAAGAGGTATCACAAAGCATTTAGCAGGCTTGAGCACCAAGTTGGCGAACAGACGAGCGTTGCGGAAAACACGAGCTAGCCGAGAGTATCCCCGATTCTTCCGAATGACTGCCCCCAGATCGTCTGCGCACGCACGAGCAGCCCCTAGGGACGAAGAGCCGTTGTTCAGGGATACTTCGATATCCAGTAAGAACGAGTTGGCAGCAATGACATAAAGCGAACCACTTAACGGGCAGCCTTGCAGGACCCCTGAGTCCATGAAGTAGAGGAGAGAGAGGCTGGCACCACCATAGTAGCAGGGCGACCAGAAGTAAAGGACCTCGAGAGCTCGTATTAGGGGGCCAGGAAGATGTAGATGATGAAGACACCGAAACAGCCACTTCTGACTGACTGAAGGGAACGCTTGTGCAAAATCAAAAGTCATGAGGGACGGCGAGTTCGTCGGGTCATCCTGGGACACGACACTGGCAATCCGTGCGAATACATCAAGGTCAACCACATTGTTGAGGAAGTTCCGATGACGAATGAAGCCGTTCTGAGTTCTCGCACCTATCGTTTGGACGACCGACTGCAATTTCCCATTCAGGACAGAGCAGATCACCTTATTCGACGTGTTCTTCAGCCCCAAGGGCCGCGTGTCACTAGCTGACCTTAGAACCCCTCCCGAGTCGGGTTCTATCTGGGAACCCTTCGCCGATTTCGGAATGAACACCGCCAAGAGCGCCGAGAAGGAGGACGGCATGAGATTCCCCGCTAGGATCCACTGGAGCACCACCATAAGGACCTGAGGCCCACGCCCAGACTTCCACGCGATGTAGCGCAGGCCGTCAGGGCCAGGAGCCGACCAAGATACCCGACGGAGAAAGCGATGAATATCTTCGATCATGGGGGGGCGGATGTTGGAGAAGTCGACGATACTCGAGAACCTCCTTAGATATTGCTCACCTCCAGGGGGCACCTCGGAGACCCTGGAGAACACAGGGGCCCAGTATCTCGCCAGTCCGTCAGCGAGTCTATCTTCAGCGCCCACCTCCCGCCCATCTTCCCGAAGCTGTTCTCCCTGCTGAGCCCCATCATCAAGAGGCCCCGATAAGAATTTCCGCCGCGCTAGAGGATTCCACAACTGGGCGCGACGATGAAGGGCCAGCTTCAACGCGACAATCCGTGATCGTCTGCCCGGAGCCTGTTCCCGGTCAGCAGCCTCTTCGAGAGCCTTTTTGCGCTTCGCGCACTCCTGTCTCTGAAGGTTGCCATGCAGGTCCTGGAACTTACCTGGGTCAAGGAACATGGGCACCTCACCGACAATGTGCACCAGGGATTGGGTCCAGGGATGCTGATGAAGGAGAACTCTCGCCAATCTCACATCGCTACGCCAGACCGCCCGAGCCAACGAGCGAGAGACCATGGCCCGAGACGCCAATGACGATGGAGACGCACGGACAACTGCATCACGAACGATAGCTCCCGCACATTGCCGAATACGAGTGGCCGCCTCCAGGAGCCTCGGAGCATCCATCATCATGTCCTGAATCCCCACCACCTCCTCCAACTCCTTGACTACCTGCTCAAACAACCTATCCTCGTACACCCACCTCGGCAAGGGACGAGGGCGTGATGACGTCTCCGCCGAACGAGGACCCAACGTCACGATGATCGGGGCATGGTCAGACATGCCGCACTTCTTGAGCTCCTCCACCTCCCCCTCCACCCTGCAGTGCTGATGCGTCTGGCAAAGAACCCAGGGAGGCGACGCGATGAAGCAGCGATCGATTTTTCCAGCAGACTGGGTGCCCTCGTTCCAGTGCGTGGGCTTGTCGAAAGCGAGCTCAGTCATCTTCCTGAAGATCTTCCTCCAGGTGCTGTCACCAGCCTTGCCAGCGCGAGATGACGAGGCTCGAGCGCGAGCTGAAACATGTCTCTCCAGGCCGCCAACGTGCGCAGCAGCCGCAGAGCCAGGCGTTGCTTTCCTGAACGCCGTGGCCACCTCACCCGCCTCATCAGAAAGATTGAAATCGCCGATCAGGATGACCGAACACATCATCGGATCAAGTCTTACTTCAGCCAGTTGCTTGACGATGACCATGCTGATGGCGTGGATTCTGATACAGTCCAGCCCGTGATTGTGAACGTTCCAGTGGTACCAAACGAAGCCACTGAGAGTGCACCGAATTTTCAAATACATGACTCTGCCAGGGACCATCACCACGTGCTCCGACACCTCCAGATTGTCCCTCATGGGAACCAGGGTGAGAAGACCGTCTGACTGCGTGGGCCCACTATGAGACTGGAACGCATGATGACGTACCCTCACACGATGCAGCAGTTCCTGAACCGCTCCAGCGTCACCATGCGTCTCCTGCACCGCCACAATCGTATCCATTTGCGCCAGCTTGGCAAGCAAGACCGCCCGCCTAGAAGCTAACCTCGGATTAAAATGAAGAAGCGACGATGCATTCCAACTCGCAAACCTGATAGACGCAGAGCCCAATAACGTGCTACCCACACCATTGTATATCGCGAGCAACGAACGTCTTGCGGGCAAGATCAATGACTTGTTGGTGGCCCAATCCCAGGTCGCCCAGCGCTGCCTGGTTCCACTCCACCTTCGGGACCCGCGTGGCCGAGGAAGGGGTGATCTTCGCAAGCGGCTCCCACTTTGAGAGCAGCTGGCCGCCCTCCCTGTCGATGAACGTGATGATGCCCATCTCGCTCTGCAATGCCTTCCGCAACTTCTTGCATGCCATCTCCGTGGCGACCTCCTTCCTGTTCTTGTCCACGGAGACGAAGATGGGAGACCTGCGCCCGCCCACATTGACCGCGAAGTCCCTCCATCTTCCCGTCGGAAACCTGAGCGCCCCCTGGGCCTGACGACGCCGAGACTCTCTCGTCGCCTGCATGGGACCCAGGAAGGCAACCGTGAACTGCTTGCCCATGTCGTCCCCCAAGAGCTCGGCCTCTTTCCCAAAGGCGAAGTTAGCGTCCTTGAGCCACTCCGAGAGCGCCTCCTGGACGCCGGCCTTGGGCACGATGTCGGGGGAGCGAACCACGAGGATCGTGTGGTCCACAGCCCTGTCCCAGTCAGATGACACAACAGGTACCTCTCGCGGCCGCGCCCGTGCAAGATCGAGCTCCTTCTCCAAGTGGGCCAGCCGCTGCTCCAGCACCCGCGTGTGCCCCTCCACATTGGTGAGTCTGCCGCCCTGCTCATCCAGCTGGTTCTGCACCCGTTTGATCGCGTCCGCCCACTTCTTCTCCAGCTTCTCGAAGAGCGGGCCAGCAGCTCGCCCCAGAGCCGACGGGAGTTCCCGTGCGAGGGTCTCGAGCGCCAGCGCAGAGAACTCGGAGAGGGCCTGCTGCTTGAGGTCCGCCAGCTGTCCGCCCACCAGTCCCGCAGCCCATGGATCCATCGGGGCAGTGGG